TTTGTTATATTAGGTGTATTGGGTAATGAAAACGATTTTTACGAGGATTGGTGATTATGATGATTGAAATTATTATGGAGTATATTTGTTTAATTATTCTCAATGATTTTTTTTTTAGTGTAAATTCCTTATAAATCCCCAATCCCCAATTCTTTTTCCTTGTCAGTCCCCACTCCTTTTATTCTTCCTCTCCACTCCCTAATACAAATGTCTCTTTCCTCTCAACTCCCCATATATATACCTATATTAGTATTATTCATTTATTTTACTTTATTTTATTGAAAATTCAATTTCATTTCTTTAACTCATCTCTCTCTCTCTTCGTCGTCTTCTCTCTGCGTATCTCTCTCTCAAAATCCACCGCCTCTCTGCAAATTCCGCCGATCGTCTCTCCCTCTGAAAATTCCGTTCGTCTCTTCGTTCAGTCCCTCTCCCGTTGCCGGCCATATCTCCGAGAAGTTGCCCTTCTCTTCGTTCAGCTCCACATCCTCCTCGCCAAAACAATGGTGGGCTCGAAAAACCGTCCTCCTCGTCGTTCCACATCCGACAAACTGTCTTCCACAATAAGCAAGGTAAGATTTTGGGGATTTTTTTCAACAATTTTGATTTTTTTCTTCAATTCAGAATTTGGGAATTTTTTTCAAAATTTTGATTTTTTTATTGAATTCGAGATTTTTCAAAATTTGGTATTTGGTTGATGCTAATGCACTTCGAATTTGAGTTTTATTTCACCAATTACGAATTTTATTGATAAATTGGGGGCTATTTGCATGTCTAGGGTTTTATTGATTTATTTGAGTTTTATTGATTTTGGTATGTTTTTTCTTAATCAATTGTTGCTGTTGTTGTTATTATTATTTTATTTGAATTTGAGTTGGCAATTGTTTGTTTGGAGAATATTGCCTCTGTATCATGAGCAGATTCAATTTCACTCACTCTTTTTTTCAAATTGAAGTGGCCTTGTGAATACTGCAACTAGCATACTGCCTATTGGATTGATAATTATAATTTATGTAGCAATGTGGTTTTGTATTTTTATATGCTTGTACAGTAATCAACTTCAAGATTTATGCCTGAGGATATATGTTGATGAACTATTACTAGTAAAAAAGTGATTTGATATCCCTGCTGGAAATTTGTGTGTTAATTTTGCCTTCCATTTGAGTATGTGTGTATGCATAAGAGTTTCTAATGTTATCTTCATTGTGTTTCAAGAAAAAATGGACAATCAAAAACCGGAAACACTACCACCACCACCGCCAATACCTCCAAAAGGTGTGCCGAAAAAATTCGGCAGAAGTAGTAAACGTCTTCCTATGGCCAGGCGAGGATTGGGTTCGAGAGGACAAAACATATCACTCTTGACAAACCACTTTAAAGTCTCCGTATCAAAAACCGATGGTTCCTTTTACCATTACAGTGTATGTATAGTCTTCTCACTATTATTTGGATGTTTATTGAAATAGAGTCTTGAATCATTAACAATGTATGTAAATCCAATAGTGTTTAAACTGATGGTTATGTGTCTTTTTTTTTCTTTTCCTGTTTTTGTTCTTTTAATTCTTTCTGGTGTAGGTCACAATCTAATACGAAGATGATACCCCTGTCGATGCAAAAGGAGTCGGGCGAAAGATCCTCGGCCAGGTCTACGAGACCTACAAAACCGAGCTTGCCGGCAAAAGATTCGCATACGATGGTGAGAAAAGCTTGTTCAGTGTGGGTCCTCTGCCTCACAACAAGCTCGAATTTACTGTGGTCATGTCCGAAGTGTCATCGAGCAGCTAAATAGTAATTTCTACTTTCAAGTAGTTTCTTTTGGTTAATTTTTTGTGTCTCTACTTTATATTTCGAAACACTTGACTGTAGGGGTACTGGGAATCGTAGTCCGGAAGCTGATGGTAGCCTAAGTGAAAGTGATCGTAAGAGATCAAGAAGGTGGCCTCATACCAAAACATACAAAGTGGCCATTAACTTTGATGCCAAAATCCCAATGTCTGCAATAGCAAACGCTCTTAGAGACCAAACATTTTTAAGAGACTGTGAGAGTTCTTGATATTATGTTGAGGCAGAATGCTGCACAAAAGTTAGAGTAGCCCTTTTATATATTTTTATATTATTACTCATTTTTTCAGTGTTGAGTACCTACTTTGTAGAAAGGAAAAAAGATGTGCAAGTTCTTAATGATACATGTTTAATAGTCCCAGTTTTTTACCAATAATAGTATCACATCTTCTTCTATGCAGTACCAGTTTTTGATGAACAAATACTTGCTTTGCAGAAAGTACAAAAATGGATTACTTCAATTTTGGTCAACATTTTGCAAAATTAGTAGCAGATTTAGAGTAAGATAGTACCGATATTATGGTGTTCTAGTACCATACATCGGGTATACAGTACCAACTTCGGCGAACATAAAAAAAAAAAAAGATTTTGTAAAACAGTACCAGTTTTACAACAATTAATATCACCTTTTATTCTATCCAGTACCAGTTATTGATCAATTAATATCTACTTTGTAGAAAGAACAAAAAATGAATTAATTCAAATTCTACCTATATGTTTTAAATTCCACTATTTGCAACCAAATCACGCGTGAACGATCCGTTTAGTATATTAATTAATAATTCTACCTATATTAATTAATATTTTTCAACCAACTCCGACGAACATAAAAAAAAAATGAATCTCGTAAAATGGTATAAGTTTTTCAACAAATAATACCACTCCTTCTTCTATGTAGTACCAGCTATTGATGAATTAGTACTTACTTTGTAGAAAGAACAAAAAATGGATTACTTCCAATTTGGTCAACATTTTCAATATTAGTACAAGACCTAGAGTAAGATAATACCGCAATTATTGTGTTCTAATACCTGATATCGGGTCTTTATTACCAACTCCGACGAACGTAAAAAAAAAAAATTGATTTTTGTAAAATAGTACCCGTTTTGACGCAAATAATACCACATTTTCTTCTTTGCAATACCAGTTATTGATGAATCAATACCAACTTTTGGTCAGCGAAAATGGATTATTCAATTGTGGTCAATATTTGCAATAATTGTTACCAGACCTATAGTAAAATAGTACCAGCTTTCAGTGTTTTAGTACCAGATATCGGGTCTTTAGTACCAGCTCCGACGAACATAATAAAACACCAAAGTTCGGTCTCAAATGATGTTTATATGACCAATAATTAATCTCACATTATTTTCTATGAGATTTATAACGTGTTTAATTAAGTTAATTCGCAAATTGGTCATAAACTCAACGCACTAATGAGAAATCACTACAAATACACTTCATTTCATTGAATGACACACTTCATCTCATAGAATCATCATACATGACTACTTCAAATTTTACCTATATGTATTAACTTCCACTATTTTCATCCAAATCACGCGTGAAAGATCCACCTGTCATGGTAGACATCAAGGATTAGAGAAATCGCGATTATGATATTAGTACCGGTTTTGGGCAACATAGTACCGCATCTTATTCTGCGTGATACCTGATGTTGATCAAATAGTACCTACTTTTTTGAAGAAAAGTTGATTATTTTAATTCTGCTCAACATTTACAAAAAGTAGTACCAGTCATAGTGTAAGTCAGTACCACATTATGGAGAGTAAGTACCAGATATCCTGTCCCTAGTACCACTTGTAATGAACACATAAGAAGACCGAATTTCAGTCGCAAATGATGTTTATACGACCCATGATCACTCTGACATTAGTTTATATAAGATTTTAAATGCTTTTGATTGAGTTTAATCGCAAATTGGTCATGAACTCGATACACTAATGAGAAAACACTACTACTAGACTTCATTTCATTGAATGACACACTTCATCTCATATAAATCATCATACATGACTACTTCAAATTCTACCTATATGTTTTCAATTCCACTATTTTTCATCCAAATCAAGTGGGAACGATCCACGTGTCATGGTAGACATGAAGGATTAGAGAAATCGCGATTTTGATAATAGTACCAGTTTTTGGAAACATAGTACCGCATCTTATTCTGCGTGGTACCTGATTTCGATCGAATAGCACCTACTTTTTTGAAGAAAAATTGATTATTTCAATTTTGCTCGACATTTACAAAAAGTAATACCAGTCATAGTGTAAGTCAGTACCACATTATGGAGAGTGAGTACCAGATATCCTGTCCCTAGTACCACTTGTAATGAACACATAAGAAGACCGAATTTCGGTCGCAAATGATGTTTATACGATCCATGATCACTATGGCATTAGTTTATATAAGATTTTAAGTGCTTTCGATTGAGTTTAATCGCAAATTGGTCATGAACTCGATACACTAATGAAAAAACACTACTATTAGACTTCATTTCATTGAATGACACACTTCATCGCATAGAAATCAGCATACATGGCTACTTCAAATTCTACCTATATGTTTTCAATTCTATTTTTTTTATCCAAATCACGTGTGAGCGATCCACATGTCATGGTAGACATGAAGGATTAGAGAAATCGCGATTTTGATAATAGTACCAGTTTTTGGAAACATAGTACCGCATCATATTCTGCGTGGTACCTGATTTCGATCGAATAACACCTACTTTTTTGAAGAAAAATTGATTATTTCAATTCTGCTCAACATTTACAAAAAGTAGTACCAGTCATAGTGTAAGTCAGTACCACATTATGAGAGTTAGTGCCAGATATCTTGTCCCTAGTACCACTTGTAATGAACACATAAGAAGACCGAATTTCGGTCGCAAATGATGTTTATACGACCTATGATCACTCTGACATTAGTTTATATAATATTTTAAATGCTTTTGATTGAGTTTAATCGCAAATTGGTCATGAACTCGATACACTAATGAGAAAACACTTCTACTAGGCCTCATTTAATTGAATGACACACTTCATCTCATAGAAATCATCATACATGACTACTCTAAATTCTAACTATATATTTTCAATTCTACTTTTTTTCATCCAAATCACGTGTGAGCGATCCACGTGTCATGGTAGACATGAAGGATTAGAGAATTCACGATTTTGATAATAGTACCGGTTGTGGGAAACATAGTACCGCATCTTATTCTGCGTGGTACCTGATTTTGATTGATTAGTACTAACTTTTGTGAAGAAAAATTGATTATTTCAATTCTGCTCAACATTTACAAAACGTAGTACCAGTCATAGTGTAAGACAGTACCACATTATGGCGATCTAGTACCAGATATCCTATCCCTAGTACCACTTGTAATGAACACATAAGAAGACCTGATTTCGGTCGCAAATGTTGTTTATACAACCCATAATCACTCTGACATTAGTTTATACGAGATTTGATATTTGGTCGCAAATGCATATACTCTCCATTCACAATCTGCATTGCTACAACCAACGATGACCTTCTGCTTGTCATTTTTTCGATACTTAAAACCGCTTGTTTGCAATCGCGTAGTTATTGACACTCTTTCGAAATTCGTCGGTCTCACTGAATATCTGCCCCTCTCCTTTGATGCAAGATCTCCAAGAATCGATCGATTTATCTTGCAACAACTCATCTTCTTCCTCCGAGAAATCATTAGACTGTACGTTTTCCATGCGTTCATGACAAAATAATACAAAAATTTATAAATAATGGAACTAGTTAAAAAATTAATGAACTAAGATATGATACGAGTATACCATATTTCAATAATAAATTCATTAATATTATGAAAGCAACATTACCTGTTCATGTTCATCGGGATCGATTGAAATCCATCATCTGATCTTTCATTTCTTTAAATGACAATTATCTCTACAATATTTATTTTCCAACAAACATGTAACCGAACATGTTCTTCACATTCTCATCATCCAACAAACTAACAGTCTTTTTTTCCTTTGGCGCAATATAGCATAGCACGACGGATTCGAAATTAACATTCGGCCACCTCTTTGATATGAGAGTGTACACTTCGTCAACCGTTGATCCAATGTGCATAGAGAACACAAACAATTCGTTCTTGTACGTACAACTCCCTAGTATATCACTTTGTGCCCCTTCATGTATCTAACAATATTTGGATAAATAAAAAAAAAATCACATTTCTCAGGAAAATATGGTACAAAAAATTATTAAAATGGTACTATCTACATGCAAACAGAGGTACAATAACCAAGAATAGTGGTACAATGATCATTCCCACCTTAGTTTCTTGTTTTAGGGTGAGTAACACATTACACAACTTAACAAGAGAATCCATTTCGTATACATAAACAAGAAATAAGAGATTTTGATAAATTTAATTGATTTAGGGTTAATATGAACAACAATTATCAAAATTCAATCCCTAACAAATTAACCAAATATATATGAATTAAACATGATTTTTAGACTCCAATGTGCATAGAGAACATAAACAATTCATTCTTGTACGTACAACTCCCTAGTATATCACTTTATGCCCCTTCTACGTATCTAACAATATTTGGATAAATAAAAAAAATTCACATTTCCCAGGAAAATATGGTACAAAAAAGTATTAAAGTGGTACTATATACATGCAAACAGAGGTACAATAATCAAGAATAGTGGTACAGTGATCATTCTCACATTATTTTGTTGTTTTTGGGTGAATAACACATTACATAACTTAACAATAGCATCCATTTTGTATACATAAACAAGAAATAAGAGATTTTCATCAATTTAATTGATTTAGGGTTAATATGAACAACAATTTTCAAAATTCAATCTCTAACAAATTAACCAAATATATACGAAGTAAACATGATTTTTG